GAAACTCTTTTCTGGTGCGGTAGTCATGACAAACCACAACTGCATTTTTTCTGCCGATAATTAACTATTAAACAGGCAAAAAGTTTTACAGATATGTTCGCTTCGTGCGTAGACACATTAGGTATTTTTTGAAAGCAGGAGGAGATGAAAAATGAGCAATGCCTTCGCCGGGACTCGAACCACGGACCTCCCGAATATGCGCCGAGTGTGGTGACCACTACACCTCAAAAGCATCTAAAAAGGCGGAAAAAATACCTTATAGGTGTACTGAAAAGTCCCTCAAGTATTGTTTTAAAACTCCAGCAGTGTTTAAAGTGCTCAATATAAGGTAATAAAAAGCACACTCGGAGCGTATTCGAAAGGTTTTAGGTTCGAGTCCCGGCGAAGGCATTGCTCATTTCTACTTCAAAAATCCTCCTAACTCTACAACTATCTTTTTAAAAGTATAAATTATTGTCTGCTACTTAACGGGTTTGTTTTCATGCGAAATGGCGCTTTTAAAGAAGCAGTGATGGAAGGCTATCTTTGTGCTCTGTCCGAAAAAAAATAATCGTATCTAGGTATTAGAAAACGCAGTGAAAGCCTAAATGTGCTGATGTACGACACATGGACTTTTGTGCTCTTGGACTTTTAAAATGCGGATTGTCCAAATGTCGAACTGCGACCCTTCGTGGACTTTGGAAAGTTGTTTAAGAGGAATGTAATAAAATACCTTTTTTGATATTAGAAAAAGCTTAGCTGTCTTGGAAATTACGGTGTAGAAAGATATTGCAGAATAAGGATTATCGAACGGAACATGTAAAGCTTAAAAATTTTAGGTAAAATATTTCTGTAAATACAATGAAAATTAGCTAAAAAATATGAGAACAACCTCTGTGGAATGAATAATGAATATAGCCGCCACCTCTCCTGTCCTTGTTCTTTTCACTTTGCTACTAATCTAAAGCTCAAGAAGAAAATTCAAGTTCAATATTCGAGAATTTTTTAAGGGGTATCAGAAACCCCTATGCCGACAATGTTAAATTGGCCATTTTCGATGTACCTTTTCTCAAAACCTGCTGTAGATACAAGCTTGAAATTTTTTCTGTAATTAAAGTATATCTATCTGATTATACTGAAATGAGCTTTTGAAATATTTTGAATTTTAGAGTAAATTACAGGATATTTTGTTAGGCATAGTAAAATTTAGCACTTTTCTCACACAAAAAAAAATTTCTAAGTTTATTACAAAAAGCTCATTTCAATAAGAATCAGGGAACCTAATAAATAAGCCATAAAAATTTTAGATACCTGTAGTTCCTGTAAAATGGTACATCAAGTATAAAAAAATCACGTTTGCAGAAAAAAGCGTTTTTATGTAAAAATCCTCATTGATCAAAGCAGTAGATGACAAATTAAAACTAGATTTTTTTTTTTACACTTCTAATTTTCATAGAGATTAAAGAATGGCATTTTCAGAAAGATAAAAGTGTAGAGAATTTGAAAATGTAAAAATCCGAAATCACAATTTTTTGAAGATTTTGGGGTTCTAACTCCCCTTAAATTGAGGTGTTACACGTGCAACAGCAAACTCTTACGTTTCCGCATACAAAGTGAATGTTGCTTCAGAAACCAAATACCTCTACTTTTATTGCCGTGCGCCATTTTCAGAGATAAGTAACGTCCAGCTCGTAAAAGTGTCACATACATCACCCTTTAATTGACTAAATAAGAGACAGGCAAGACTCAATGCTTTCTTGTGAAAACTACATTCACTCTAAAGAGGGAAAATGGAGAGAGATAGAACGAAAGCGAGATAAAGTGAGTATTCAGCCCCCCTTTGCTGGGTTGCAAGTCAATCGCGCACTAACCGAGGTTAAGATGTATGGGTTCTTGCTACTGATTAGCTGCCAATTTTTAAAAGTACTTTTTTTAAAGCATGGGCCAGATTATATCAGAAGAGTAGAATATACTCGTTGTGCTTCTGTTTAATTATCTGCTGCTAAATTTACGAGTCCTTTTCCTCATTTTTTTTACAAGCATCTAGACCATTAAGATTTGAATCTCGAGATTGTCTTAATAGCATCAATATTTACCTAATAAAGTCCTTTTTTTTTCAGCTTGGAAAAACTATTGGGCAACGTCGAAAAATACATTAATGGTATTAATTTCACAAGAATGCAACGGAGATACTGGTATCGTTATTGTACTTGGAAAATGTAGTACTAATCATTTACAGCTTGAAAAACGAGGAATAGCAGCAGGGCATACGGTCGGATAATATTTCGTAATTTATTTCCTGTCATTGCATTCAATAAGCGTTTTATATGCATTCTAAAGATAAATTTGGTAAATTTATAAATCTTATCCATTTTTAAAAGCATTAAAACTTACTTCAGAAGAAAATGTTGAAAATAAGGATTTTTTATTACGATGATTTCTTCTTGTATGCTTGAATTAGTCCCAGCTGAAGAGATTTGGGTTGAGAAATGCGTAAGTTATAACATTCTTAAACGTATATCTAAATCTTACAGTAGAACATTAAACTAAAATTTGAAATAGAGTTTTAAGCAAGTTGCTTATTTAAACCACTGCCTTATTTTTAAGTAAACAAAACATATATTTAGCAATTAATTACAAATTTATTGTTGAGAATCACAGTTGTACAATGTTACGCTTTTCTCATGTAAGCAAATTATCTAATGCATAAAATTATACTTTACATACAAAATATTCTTAGATTTCTATAAATTTAAAGGTGTTAGGTTAGGTTATTTGAATATGGCTAAGCATAGGAGGGTTTTCTGTATAAGGTGTGTGTGTGTGTTATTATGGCAAAGCCTCGAGGGCTATCTGCCAAAGGGGAGGGATGCCTTCGTGGAGGACTTTCTAAGGGTGTATTGTGTATTTAATTATGGCAAAGCACACTAGGGCTATCTGCCTAAGGGGAGGGATGCCTTCGTGGAGGACTTTCTAAGGGAAACTGGCTCGTATACACGTTACACATGGGGAAAAACACAAAAACGCCCATGCAGCCAGCCCGTTTGCGGGATTCGAACCTCGGACCGAACTACCAGTGTTCAGCGGCTTTACCGCTCGGCCGCTGGTGGGCCGACTTTCTAAGGGAAACTGGCTCGTATACACGCTACACATGGGGAAAACCACGAAAACACCCATGCAGCCAGCCCGTTCGCGGGATTCGAACCTCGGACCGAACTACCAGTGTTCAGCGACTTTACCGCTCGGCCGCTGGTGGGCTTTCTGTATAAGGAGAAAAATCTTCGTGAAGGACTTTCTGAGGGAAAGTGGCTTGTATCTACGGTTATACATAACTTTAAATATATACCTAAACGGTTATGCTACAGAGGATAAATTCAAGGTAGTTTTCTTTTAGAATATATTAATAAGTAATTCTTTCTATTTATTTTTTATATACGGATAACTAAAATAATATACCCTATATTATCCTATATTATCCCTATATTTTATTATTATTATATCTAATTATATCCTATATTATCAAAGATTACATATTTTTTAATTTTTACGAATGTAAATACTCATAAAAATGATAAATATGTGTTTCTCATTGGCTTTGGAAAGCATTTACTATTTTAGGGAAGGGTTAAATATTCTAAAGTGTACCTCCCTCCTTCCAGCATGCCTTTATAGTGTAACAGTAGCACACTCGGCGCGTGTTTGAGAGATCCAGGTTCGAGTCCCGGTGAGGGCATTGCACATTTTTCACATCTTTACTTAAAAACACCTAATGTCTGTACAGTGGCGCCTGAACTAAAAGGTGGTGGACGATAATTCGCCACCACCGGGATTTCACGATTGGGTTCCATAATCACCAGTCGCCCTTTGAGTTCTCCGACCTCTCAACTTGCCTTCGGGGTGTAACGGTAGCACACACGGTGCGTATTCGAAAGGTCCAGGTTCGAGTCCCGGCGAGGATATTGCACATTTTTTCGTCTTCCATTCCTACTTAAAATAATATAATGTCTCTACAAGACGACATTACATTAGAAATTTCATTTAAATAATTTTAATTATAAAACTGCCTACTCTTACATTAGTCAGACTCAATGGCACGCAAAAAGGACACATAAATGTAAAAGGGAGTAAAAAGAATTCTGCTAAACTGCAGAATTGCTCCTGAAGAAGAGAGACTTATGTCTGATGGCCCTCGAAATGAATTTCTCTCCTAATTTGAAATACGATTTGTTATCTTTTGTTTATCTAGTCAGCATAGCAACTTCTATTTTTAAAAAGTAAAAAAAAATATGCAAATATTTATAAATTACGTTAAAAATTTAACATGGTTTGCCAATCAACCTTTAGTTTGAATTTATCCTTCATATGAAGGTAAAAGTAGCGTAATTTATTAATTCTTATTGTTATTTTCGCTTGTTTTACTGAAGTGCAATCATCAATGAAATAAGATAAATGTTAAGCTTACAATTCCGCACAAAAGCAATTTAAGGAAGCTAATCCTATCTAACATGCCGCCCAGTCGGTATAGTGGTCAAGGAAGCTGACTGCGATGCCAAAGAACCTGGGTTCGAATCCCGGAGAAGGCATGGTTGTAACTGTCCGTCCCTTCATAGGAAAGGCGATAGTGGCCCACCTATTAGGCGCCTCCATAATAAAGAGATCACCACATCCGGCCTTGTATAAATTAATGGACTGGGTTACATTTGTAATTGTTTACAATGAGCCATTGGGGCGGGTGGAAATCTTATCTTACATTATTAGCATGCAACAAAATAATTTTCACTGTAAGTTGTTAAGAGCTTACTTTCAAACCTAAGTAACAAAGTTAGCGCCAAACTTATCAATTAAATTATCTAATCAATTTCTACATTTATTTAATAAACAATTTAACAACACTTGTAATGACAAGAAATCATAATGACTCTGCAAATAAAGTAATAAAACTGTAATAAAATACTGTGATTGTAATAAAGTGTAAAAAAAGTCAATGTTTTCCGTTTATTAATTCATTTATTTTATTTCAGAACCCGGCGAACTACCAAAGTTACCTCCCATGAAATGCCAACTACGGAAACACAAGAGTAATCGTAAGCCTAGAACACCCTTCACTACTCAGCAGCTACTGGCTCTGGAGCGAAAGTTTCGTTCCAAACAGTACCTTTCCATTGCCGAAAGAGCCGAATTTTCTTCTTCTCTCAACCTCACCGAAACTCAAGTGAAGATTTGGTTCCAGAATCGCAGAGCGAAAGAGAAACGCCTCAAAGAAGCAGAAATAGAGAAATTAAGGATGGCAACGAGGCCCCTCATTCCGTCATTTGGTTTTGGCGCGCCCGGATTTTTGACTGGAATTCCCCCACCGGCGCACTTGGGGACAAATGGGATTCAAGTGTCCAGACCTTTTCTCGGCCCACTTATGTCACCGTATCCTTTCTATACATCTTCGCCTTCTGGTAATGTGTCCTCACCCATTGCAACCGCGTGTCATCAGTGATATCCTGCCAAAGATTTAGAAGCAGTCCAACGAAGTATAAAGACTGAAGAGATATGAATGTATATAGAAAGAACTTGAAGTGTCTAATGATGACACATCTGGAATGGTGCAGGAAATGCATAGCGTACCAGTTGCTGGAGCTTAAACGTAATGCCACTGATTTCTTTTCTTTTGTGTAAATATGTAAAATAATGAAGAGTAGATCAAGTAATAACATTTATTCATTGGAGAATATCAGCATAACTGAAACACTAACGTTTCCTAATTGAATTTTATTAGAAAGTTTCAACTATTTCAGCTTTGCCAGCATCGTAAGATACAAATATCTGATGTGGACACAACATGACTTCCTTGTACGGCCTGTTAAATTATACACATTTTTTTGCTGCATTTCATTTAAATTCATTTCCTCGGATTTCATTAGAGATATATATCTCATTCAATTAATCCAGTTCTACCTTCGCGGCAAGGCTAAAATATATAAAAGCTAAAAGTATCTTGATTAAAAATTGTAAAATACAGGAAAAGAATAAAACATCAAATAAAGTTAAAAACAGTAAAAAAAAAACCTTTTTTTGTTTGTAATTAAAATTTGCTGTTCTACACAAAAACAAGCAATTCGGCCAGTGGGCAGGAAGACATATTTTTCAGTGCACAAAATTGAAAGTTTACTTTTTGTCCCCCACAGTAAAAAGATACTGAATTCGGTATACAAACTGACTTAAATTATTATTCTACTAAGAATTTCAAATATCAGCAAATAGTAGCCTCATTAGCCTTAGCACAGCTTAAACTTTTGAATTGTTGATAATTCTATAACTATTGCATGCAGATTAACTAAAGGCATAAAAACCTTAGCCGGAACGTAAAAAACACATAATTCAATCAATATAAAGCAAAAAATGCACAATTTACCAACGTATAATAAGGGGAAAAAAAAAATCGGAGCTCACCGAGCTGAGTAACAGAGTGGATATATATATATTTGTGTACATTTATATATGTTTGTTGCTGCCGGTTGCAACCAGAAAGGGAAGTGCACAACTACATGTTATAGCAATTTCATAATACAAAATTTCAACGTTTTAAGTCGACTACTCATTTTTTAATTATGCGAGATAGATACATATGTACTTACGCACATACTACAAAAAAAAAAAAAAAAAAATCTTCTGAACCCATTTAAAAATTCGTTTTACAAAACACAGTTCTTTACTCTGTCGTACGTACAGATGTCACACAAAACATCCGTCAAATGGAATCGAGAGCGGTCAAAATAGATATTTCCTATGAAATCTGATACCCGAAATTTTTCGCGATTACAATACTTTACTTCGTACAAGTAAAAATAACTTTTCTGTTATCGAAGGATTCTGTAGCTACCTTAGTTTCAATTCTCTAGCTACCGTAGTTAAAAAAAAAAAAAAAAAAATTGAATTAGAGTAAATTTAAAGAATTGTGTTGTATGCATAATTTTCTAATTTAAGAACTAACACAAAATGACGTTTTTGAAAATCACTTATGCTTCTCTTTGGGTGAAAATTGACCAACTAGCAGCTAAACATCAAGCCTCTTAAAATAAACCAACTTATGAATAACCCACAATTAAAAGTTTATTGCAACTAATTAGTTATTAAATTCCCCTTAAAAATGTACGTCAATTAACATTGTTTTCCTAAAAATGCGTTAGTTCCACTATCGACAACATTTGAAGTAATCCAGATTATTCCTAATCAAGTTATTTGTATCTCTTCCAATCTTAAATGCAAAACTTTTTTTATTAAAAAATGCAGAAAAGAGGCTAAGTTTCCATCTAACTCTGAGATAATATTCTAATTAAGTTTTTATGAGCATTTTGATATAAGAGTAAAGAATGCTTTATACAGAAAATTTATTTTCAATATTTCCAGATTATCTATTAAATTTAACCATTCGTGTTAAGAAGAGAATGAAAAGTAATCTCATCTCTTCGTAAAAGTCAAATCTAATTTTAAAATGAAATAATTTTTTAAATAATAGCTTCGTATTTTGCTAGCAATAGTACTTAGGTATTTCAAATTCATATTTCCTAAGGAAACTAATTTCTCACTGAGAAGCATTTATTCATCTTCACGTAAGGGAAGGGAAAGAAAGGAAATTAGAATCCTATCTTTCTTTAACAGGAAATTAAATATTTTCGTATTTTGTGTGATTCAATTATTGGGAAGGAATTTATCCATTTCGAATTTCATTTCCTACGCTGAAAAGAAAAAGAGAATGATAACATTTATTTTACTTGTATCTTATACAAAAAAATGATTTAAAAAAAAATCAATGTTTTACATCAATACAAAAATCAGTATCACTTGTATCTTATACAAAACAATGATTTAAAAAAATCAATGTTTTACATCAATATAAAAATCAGTATCACTTGCATCTTCTACTACAAAACAATGATTAAAAAAATCAATGTTTTACATCAATATAAAGATCAGTAACATAGAAATATCATTAAAAAAGCATTTCAAAATGCTCTTTATTTAAAGAATTTTTAGTAAATATTTGTTTGATTAGTAGTCGTAAGATTAATAAGCTAGGAAACTTTAAAAATTTTTTTTAAAAAATTAGCACAAAAACTGTGCACCAATTACAATCATTTTAAAGTGTAGATTCAGTTATGCAGGAGAAACATGAATTTTAAATACAGGTGATAATTTCTTTTAAACTCTTTTTATTTAATTTCTTTTAAATGTTCAGGAGTTCAAAATTTTAAATGAAATTTGTTACATTGCTTTTATTTGTTGATACATTTTAATGGTACATACTCTCTGCAATGCTCCAGCTCTGGTACACTGAAGATGAATTAGATGTGCTTATGTGTACCAGAAACTGTCTTCTCGAAGGATGGCTCATTCCCAGTTCCTGAAAATATAAGAGAACTCATCTTGAACTCACGAAACAAGAGAAAAATATTTGTAATCTATAGATAAAATTCTCATATGCATTTCGTGTGAAAATGAGTGTTACTTATTTGTGTTACATCTGAACCTATATAACTTAAGTGAATTTTTTTAAAAGTAGCTATTACTATCCCGTTTATTTAAAGTGAACAGATGTTATTTATTTCGTGTTTCGAAATTCCTTTTATAATGTACTTGATTTTATATTGCTTGATTTTGCAATACTATTATCACATTCCTTGGTACTTAACTTCTACTTTTATTGAATTACTTAGCAGCTGGAGAATTTCGTAACACATACGTTTTGTTGCCAAATATGTTATACTCGTTATCATATGTCTTTTCGTACGAAGTCGAAGTAGCATATGTTATTTATAGCTGTATAATAAAAATGTAAATAAAAAATTGTTTATAACGATAATTTTTTCCGTTTTTTCTATAAACATTTTGATCAGATGTGGATTACCTTACATACACAAAATATTAATATACGAAACATTTTTTGATTTAATTTCATTAGCAGGACCACAGTTTACTGAAGTGCAAGATTTTAAATTTATAAGAACATAGAGTTTACTAGAGCATTAAAACTCAGGGAGAGATATGGACATATTATATAAAAAAATCTGATGTAAACACTACATGACTTCCTTGTACGGCCTATTAAATTATATATATACACTTTTTGTGCTGCATTTCATTTAAAACTTATTTCTTCGAATTTCATTAGAACTATATTTCTCATTCAATTAATTTAATTCTCACTTCACGACAAGGCAAAAATAGATAAAACCTCAAAACATCTTCATTAAAAATTAAAAAATATAAAAAAGCATAAAACAACAAATACAGTTAAAAAAGTTAAAAAAAAAATACAATTAAAAATTAGAGTTTATACAGGAAATTTGGTCAGCGAGTGAAAAGGCAGATTTTTTGGCGCGCAAAAGCTTACTTTTGGATTCACTCGGAAAAAGGCACTAAAGGTGGTAAGGATTATGTTAATTTTATTAACAGTTAAATTTTAAGTTAAATTCCTTTCCTGTCAAATTCTTAACTTCAACTTACTGCTTCCGGCCAGAACGTAGTTTTAGAATCACGTCTGAATACATAATGAGGAAGAGCGGTATTTAACCTCGAAGTTCTTTAGTCTTAGCGAGAGAGATTCAGAGTTTCTGATTTACGCGCGTCCGCATTTCGGCCACTCTCTCTCTCAAAGCTGTTATTACGCTCGGCCGTACTCAGGCCCTTGATAGCTCCGCAGTACTCTGGTGTTTAACAGGCCAACTGCATTGGAAACTTGATAGCTTCGGCTATATTTAGTTAATTTTAGTTTTAGTTTAATTCTTAGTCTCTTAAGTTCAAGCTCAAGTGTCGGCTTTGATTGTACACTCCAAGACGGAGTTTTCTTAAATCTTATTGGAATAATAAAGGATTAGTTACCCTTCCCATCTTGTTGTTTCTTGTCACACGAACTTAAGCGATTATTCGCTAAATAGTTCTTAAGATTCGTCATTTTCTACAGTAACTGAGAGTTGCACTAGTGAAAATCTTACAAGGTGCATAAACTGACTTAATTCAATATTCTGGTAAGTTTCAAAAGTAAACAAAGAGCTGCTCCGTTAGGCTTAATCGTACTTAAACAACTTTTAAATTGTGGATAATTCTACAACTATTGCATGAAGATTAACTAAAGGCATAAAAACCTTAACCGCACTATAATTCAATAAAGCAAAAAATGCCCAATTTACCAACCTATAAGAATAAGAGAGCCGAACTCAACGAGTCGAGTAACAGAGTGGGTATATATATGTATACTTTTGGTGCTGCCGATTGCAGCCAAAATGGGAGATGCACATTTACATGTTATAGTAGTCTTATATACAAAAGTTCAGCCTTCTGAGGCTACTCGTTTTTGAGTTTTGCGAGATACATACATACATACGTACGTTCGTACAGACGCCATGAAAAATCTCTTCTGAATCTATTTTTTAATCCGTTTTGGGAAAAAGAGATCTTTATTCTATTCGTACATACAGGTGTCACGCAAAAACATTGTCCAGATGGGTTGGGGAGCAGTCAAAATGGATGTTTTCGTTGAAATATGATACCCGAAATTTGGGCGATCACAGTACTTCCTTTACTTCGTAAAAGGAAGTAAAATAGGTGCCAGTTTAGAAGCTCAGGGTAAATTATATCCCCGAAAGAGCTGACAGAGGAGCAGTTTTGCAGAACACATATTCGTGTCATCCAAGTAATAAAGTAAAATAAAGGAGCAAAGATTAGAGCAAATTGGGCATTTCAATACACTTGATTTGTCGAACAAAAATTAATCAATTTTAAAATTTATTAGAAACACATTTATTTGAAGTTCAGATTTTGAGCGTGAAGGTGCATTTGCCCCTCGCTCCCTATTTTAACTTCGCTAATTTTCCTTGTCCTTTATGCTTGATCAGATAGCCTGGCTCAGTAAAAGTAGGCGG